TCCATCAACATGATGCCATAGCTATAAACATCACCACTAGTGGACACTATTCCCTCTGAGCCATATTCTTAAAAATGGATTGAAGAAAAGTTACTCAATTGAAATACAACAATAATTCTGCATAAATAAAGACTTGCTCTTTTTACTTCTTTAACTTGGAGAGGCTTAATTATGATAAGAGAAAATCAAAGAGAATAGATTTTTTATACCTGGTGCAATGTATCCAAGAGTGCCCAATGTCTCTGTATAAGCCATGGACTTGCTTATCGCTAAAATTTTAGAGATGCCAAAATCACCAACATGAGCCACCATATCTTCATCCAAAAGAACGTTGGCTGGCTTTAGGTCGCAATGAAACTATTGGAGTGTTATCTCCATGGTGTAGATATTCAATTGCCACAGCCACATCAAGCATTATGGCGACTCTTTGAAGAAGGTTTAAGTTGGACTCTTCTCTGTACAACCAATTCTCAAGACTCCCATTTGACATATATTGCAGAACAAAGGCTCTTATGTAGTCACTAGAACAAGTAGTAATCAACGGAACAAGATTTCTATGTCTAACATTTCTCATCACTTCGCATTTGGTGTCAAACCTTTTGCATACTTCCTCACTTTGCAAATCCACAACCTTAATGGCCACCAAAGTTCCACCAGGTAAAGTGCCTTTGTACACAGAGCCAGAACCTCCCACACCAATTAAATTTGATTCATCAAAATTATTTGTTGCTAGTTGAATCTCGTGATAAGAAACTAATTGAGGAGTCCTGATCTCCGGTACCTTTTCAACATCTTTGGACTTTCCTTTCTTCTGTCGTTTCATTATCCAAATTGAAACCAACAAGAATATCAGCAAGGATGAAATAACCACTGGAGTAGCAATTTTTAGCACAACCCCCTTAAGCTTTGATTGTTTTCCAGGATAAGTGATAGCACAAGCAGGAATCTCCAAATAGACCTTTGTTCCCAAGAAATGATTGCAGAGTGGAATTTGCAAACACACCACCACTCTGTATTACACCTTCTAAATCATTAAATGAAACATTAATGCTTTTAAAGACAAATTCAAGAATTCCAAGCTCGTCAAGTTGGCAAGGGATCATGGAATTTGTCCAAAAAATGAGTTGTTTGATAGGACAAGAGACTGCAGGTTTAGAAGTTCTCCCAATCTGCTTGATAACATTCCTGAAAAGTGATTACTGGAAAGATCTAGCGCTATAATGACTTTAAGTTCTCCAATATCTGATGGAACTTCTCCCTCTAAAGAATTTTGTGACACATTTAGAAAGAGAAGGCCACTCATTTTCCAAAGGTTTGATGGAAATTTTGATGAAAATTTATTAGAACCCAAATAAAGATATTGTAGCATGCTAAGATTTCCTAAGCATTCTGGAATTAATCCAGAGAGCTCATTAACTTGCAGAGTTAATTTAACCAAATTAGATAATTGGCATACTGCCTTTGGAATATGTCCCTGCAATTTATTGTTAGTTAGATACAACCCTTGGAGTTGTTTAAGCTTACCAATCTCAGGAGGAATACTCCCTGTCAAGTTGTTTCCTTCAATGATTAGGGTTGTAAGACCGCTCACGTTGCCTATACTTGTGGGGATGAGGCCATTGATGTGTGCATCTGCTATATAAAAGTTTTGAATAGTATATGAAAGATTCCCAATAGAATTGGGCAACACCATTCAACGGATTGTTACCCACTTGTAGATATTGCAACATCCTACAGTCCGCCAAAGAATTGAAGAATAGCAACTCACGCTGTCTTGGTTCATTGGCAAGTTGATTAGTATGTAGGAGCAGTATTTGCAGCTCATGAAGATTTCCCAAATTATTAGGAATAGTTCCTGTGAGAAAGTTATTATTTAGCTCCAGTATCTCAAGCTTGGAAGCATTTGTTATGAACAATGGAATTGCCCCTTTGATCTGGTTGACTCCCAAGTGAAGATCCTTAATGTTTGGAAGATGAAGACCTGTAGTGGTTGGAATTCTTCCGGAGAGGTTATTGAAACTGAAATCAATAACTTCCAAAGAAGATATGTTGAAAATAGCCTCTGGAATTTGACCAATTAGATTATAATTATTCCTAAAGCATAATTGCCGCAAATTTGATAGCTTCCCTAATTGCAGAGGAATTTACCCCACTATGCAATTGTTTCCACAATAAAGATATTGCAGAGTGGAAATATTTCCCAATGATGTGGGAATAGTCCCTTTCGTTGGATTATCACCAATTAAGAACTTTTTGAGCTTGGATAAACAATCAATATTTCTGGGTATTTCTCCAGTTATGTTGTTGTAAGATATGGACAAAACTTCGAGCTCTGTGAGTTGGCATATGTTGGAAGGAATGCAACCAGACCATATCTAGAGGTGGAACCAAGTGAACAGGAGGTCATGCATTCTAAGACATTTCATATGAACTCTTATAGAAACCACACCGAACCAAGTGAACGGGAGGTCATGCAGTCCAAGACAAGTTTGGAAAAAAGCATGTTGCTTGACCAACCATATCTAGAGGCGGATCCATGATATAAAGTTTATAAATTTTTATTATGATTTATATTAATATACAATAATAAATGGATTTTCATAGTCAAATATTAATAATTATTTTGTTAATTTCTCAATACAAATAACTAGTAATTTGAGCTCACATTTTATCGACTTTTCGAGCTTCAATTTCAAGGAAATTGATACTTTATATATCTTTTATCTTCAATTCTTCTTGCTTGGTGGTCCCCAAATCAAGAATTTGTTTGCATACTTCTTTACATTAAACTTGAATGAAAACACAATCATTCGCTCAACACACTAAACTAAAGAATGTGGGGTTTGAAGTACAAGAGACAGTTCATTTTTGTGTCAATCAAATTCAATGTCAAGATGTATTTATTTTTACCTCTATTGCTCCTCCAAGACATGAATGATATCCATGAATCTATTTCAAGGTCTTTACCTTACAAAACTCGCAGAAAAATATATTTTAGGTGTTTTTTTACCATTACCTCTTGATTTTTTGCTAAGTCTACACGGATTCTAAGAATATAATTGAATTGATTCATCAAATCTGTCTGTTATATTCCTATATAGTTCTGTTCCCTTTTCCACTTCATCCAAACACATTTTGCATCTAACCTTAGTTCTTTTGGTTATCTCTTTCAAGTTTCCGGCCTTCAACAGGTCTCACATCACTAAAATAGTGTCCGAGATGCATCTTCCAGCTAGTATAACATGTTTTTTTAGTGAAAATAGCAAACAGTAAGTTAATTTTTTTGAAATTATAAAAGCTGACTTTATTCACATATTTGCAATCATTCATTATGCAATTATTAAAACTTACCTAGTCCAACTAATGTCAACAACCCTCTTTATTGCTATAAATATGTTAACAACCCTCTTTAATGCTGTCAATTCTATGTACTACTTTTTGAAATTTCAAAGAAATTCATTTTTTTCTACTATGGGAAAAAGGAGAAGTAATAAATGGTGAGGGAATCTTACTATCTCGATTGATTGACTTTCTACTAACTCTTTCACCTTATTGGTGAGAATTTGATTCAGCACATTGTAATTCCTGTGAGCCCATCTAACTTATATGGATTGACGTGAACACATATCACGTAAGTTAGATCTGCCCCTGACCACATCACAACTTGCATTGATCATAAATTAATATTGCAATATCTGAGAGCAGAATATTCAAACAATAATAATAATTACGTCTCAATTCCGAACAAGTGAGCGAAATTTATAGAAAATAATCTAAAAAATCAATTGCACCAACCAACCTATAAAGAGATGATATATTACCACTTCCTCGGAACAATGCCTTTCTTCTCCAAAATGCAACACTCTAAAGTATAAACAATACATGACTTCGAGTAGTACATACGCCTTTACTAAAGAAACCAGTAAACAAAAAGCAACAAGTTAACTTGCAGATCAGAAAGAGATGCTGATCACTTCTACATTTCCAAAAATGTGTTCTTGATTTTGTTAAGCCTCTTGACTACTTCTTTCATGGTTACTCTTGATTCTGGCATTTTCTTTGTGCAGTCTAAAGCCAATTCTATCATGGAGGCTATGCACATTTCACTTTTACAAGTAATTTGTTCTTCCTCAGAAAAAAGATTAGCATCCACAACATCCATCATACTCCCTGAAAATGATTGTGTTATCCATTTCCTCAGGTCAAGATTTTCATTGCATATATCTTCATCTGTTGGCCGTCTTTTGGTCAAAACCTCCATCAACATAATGCCATAACTATAAACATCACCACTAGCGGACACTATTCCCTCCGAGCCATATTCTTAGAAAAGAATTGAAGAAAAGTTACTCAATTGAAATACAACAATAATTCTGCATAAATAAATCCTTGCTTTTTCTTACTTGTAGAATTTAGAGAGGTTTAATTATGATAAGAGAAAATCAAAGAGGGTAGATTTTTTATACCTGGTGCAATGTATCCAAGAGTACCCAATGTCTCGGTATAGGCCATGGACTTGCTTATAGCTAAAATTTTAGAGATTCCAAAATCACCAACATGAGCCACCATATCTTCATCCAAAAGAACGTTGGCTGGCTTTAGGTCGCAATGAACTATTGGAGCAACATGACAATGATGTAGATATTCAACTGCCATAGCTGCATCAAGCATTACAGTTACTCTTTGATGAAGGTTCAAGTGGCGATCTTCTTTGTACAGCCAATTCTCAAGACTTCCATTGGGCATAATTGGCATAACAAAGCCTCTTATATAGTCACTAGAACATGTAGTGATCACTGGAACAAGATTTCTGTGTCTAACATTTCTCATCACTTTGCATTCGGTATCAAACCTCTTGCATACTTGCTCATTTTCCAAATCCAGAACCTTTATGGCCACTACAGTTCCACTAGATAAAATGCCTTTGTACACAGAGCCAGAGCTTCCCTCACCAATTAAATTTGATTTATCATCAAAATTATTTGTTGCTTGTTGAATCTCGTGATAAGAAACTAATTGATGAGTTTTGATCTGCAGTACCTTCTCCACATCTTTGGACTTCCCTTTCTTCTGTCGTTTCATTATCCAAATTGAAATGAACAAGAATATCATAAAAGATGAAATAACCACTGGAGTAACAATTTTTATCACAACCTTCTTAAGCTTTGATTGTTTTCCAGGATTATTGATAGCACAAGCAGGAATCCCAAATATGTGCATTCCGCAAAGACCTTTGTTACCAAGAAATGATCGCAGAGTGGAATTTGCAAACACACCACCACTCGGTATTACACCTTCTAAATCATTAAATGAAACATTAATGCTTTCAAGGTAAGAGAGTTTTTCCAATGACTTAGGAATAGTACCTGACAATGCATTTGAAGACAAATCCAAGAATTCCAAGCTTATCAAGTTGACAATGGATAATGGAATTTGGCCATAGAGGTTGTGTCGAAGAAGAAGATCTGATTTGCATATTAGACGGGGATCTTAATTGTAACATTATGTAACACCCAAGTTCTCAACAAGCTCCTAAGGAAACCCTTGTAACCCAAGGGGACTGGACTAGGCACCACATCGGTGATCCGAACCAGTATAAAAACACTCTGTGTTATTTACTTACTGCAAGTTATTATTATTGTTTATTTATTCTTCTAACATGCAGGTGAGTCGACTGACCATTACAGGAAGTGGACTAAAGGAAATTTTAATTCACCCCCTCTTGACCTTCACTATACATTCTGGGATCACTCCAATGAGCTCATTATGTTCCAGATATAATTGAACCAAATTAGATAAATTGCATACTGCCTCAGAAATATGTCCCTGCAATTTATTGTAACGTAGATACAGACCTTGGAGTTGTTTAAGCTTACCAATCTCAGGAGGAATATTTCCCATCAAGTTGTTTCCTCCAAGGCTTAGGACTGTAAGACCGCTCATGTTGCCTATACTTGTGGGGATGAGGCCATTGATGTGTGCATCTACTATATTAAAGTTTTCAATAGTAGATGAAAGATTCCCAATTGAATTGGGCAGAGTGCCATTCAATGGATTGTTACCCACTTGTAGATATCGCAACATTCTACAGTCCGCCAAAGAATTGAAGAATCGCAACTCATGCTCTCTTGGTTCATTGGTAAGTTGATTATCATGTAGGATCAGATATCGCAGCTCATGAAGATTTCCCAAATTAGTAGGAATAGTTCCTGTCAGATAGTTATTTTCTAGCCCCAATATCTCAAGCTTGGAAGCATTTGTTATGAACAATGGAATTTCTCCTTCGAGCTGAATGAATCCCAAGTTAAGTCCTTTAAGGTTCGGAAGATGAAGACCTGTAGTGGTTGGAATTCTCCCCGAGAGGTTATTGAAACTGAAATCAATCGTTTCGAAAGAAGATATGTTGAAAATAGCCTCTGGAATTTGACCAATAAGATTAGAATTATTGTCAAACGTGGATTATCGCCAATATAGAACCCCTCGAGCTTAGATAAACAATCAATATTTTTGGGTATGTCTCCAGTTATGTTGTTGAAAGATAAAGACAACCATTTGAGCTCTGTGAGTTGACATATGGTGGAAGGAATGCAGCCAGAAATTTGGTTGTTAGATATACTTAAAAACTTCAGATTTGACACAATATTCCCTTCATCTAGCAAGAGAGGACCAGAAAGTCTATTGTATCGCAGATGTATGGAAAGTAGTGACGAGATATTAAACAGTGCTGCTGGAATGGAACCTGTTAATTGATTATCAGTCAAGTACAAATCTGCAGATTACCGACCTCCTTAGGAATGTTGCCGCTGAATCTATTCCCAGACAAACTGAAGTTCATCATTTTTGTGGCATTTCCAACAGAAGGAGGGATCATACCTGTGAGGCTGTTGTTGGTGAGATTTAAGACTCTGTGTTCGGGTACATACCATGGCCCTCTCCACATTTCACCACTGAGTTCATTGAAAAGTCCAATGAAAATTAACTTGAACTCTCCGGTTTTGAAATAGACTTGTTGGTATACTTCCGTTGAGCTGATTGTTTTTAACATCAATCACTCGCAAGCGAGGCATGTGGCCAATGTAATAAGGGATGCCACCATGGAAGTTGTTGTTCTTGAGGTTGAGAACATTAAGGAAGGACAAATTAGCCAAAGATGGGGAAATTGTGCCTTGAAGTTGCAAATTAGGAAGAGTCAAGGCTACAACCCTTTGCCTTTTTGGACTGCAAGTGACGCCGAACCAAAAGCAAAAAGAAGTTTTTTTGGTCCAATTATTGGCCAAAAAATGATTGGGAGTTGTAATAAGATTTTTGAAAGCTAGTAGAGCTTGTTGGTCTGTCTCATTTTAGGTAGCAAATGATACAGAAAATTGAATAAAAAATAGAAGAATCAATAAGAAAATGTGCTTCTCCATATGATATAGAATGTTTGTAGGGGATTAATTTGTGTGTGGTATTTCCAACGATCAAGTTACTACACTATATATAGTGTTGGGTTTTAATACCAAAACACTAGTAGGGTTGTGTTTCACAAAATGAAATAGAAGTCATAATAGAAATTGAAGAAGAAATGTTGCTATCAATTTTCATTATATTTTATATTGTTCAGAGCAAGTCAATAGCTTTCAAATCAAGTTTGTAAGGATGTGTTACACAAAAGAAAATAAATCACAAACACATTCACTAATTAATTTGCACAAACAGGAAGAAATTTTAAGATTTTCTTAGAAGAAATAAAAACGTGCTACACGCACGCTGATATGTGTAATTTCACATTTTTTAAAAATCTTTTTAAAATCTACTTTAATATTTTTATTTTTATTAGTCCTGGAAACATGTGTGGCATGTCTCGCCCTGTCTATTATATAAAATTTATAAATCAAACTGATGTTGATAATACGCTAATACTTTTATCTGATTGTGTCCGCAAAATTCATCTCTCGAGTTGGTATAGTCCCATCAACAATTGGACAATATATAATAAGAATCTCCATCCACCCTTACATGTTCTTTATATGTATTAATTTATTAGAAAATTACAAACTAAAAAGAAATTATGAAAAGAAAATGTATAGAATGAAAGTTAAAGAAAAAATATTCCTTATATCAAATCAATTAACATGAAAAGTAATAAAATTTACATGTCATCATATCAGACAAAGTGAAAAAAAAAAAAGTTAAACAAACCAATACATTAATAAATAATTGATAAATAAATTAAAAAATTACATAAATATTATAAGATGATGAAATGCAAAAGAGAAATTTACCAACAAGTAACTCGCATATACATTACACATACACAACACATCAAACGTTGTTCCAAAGAGGGAAAAGAAAGATTGCAATATCAATCCGTTCTAATTTATTTGGAGAATCTTATAATATATTTTAATTTTTAATATTATAAATCTATTAATAAACTTGTATTAAAAATAGTTTAGCAGAAGAATGAACGTACCTGGTACATTTACATTGTTCCTCTGTTATAGTTTCCAGTGATGATCATATTTTTGACGTATAAGTATAAGATAATTTATCATCTATTTAATTTGATAATTTAACAAAAACCAAAAATTGCAACGTTCACAAGAAGTGAAAAGGCATAATTGTTTACTTCAACATTTATTTATCATTTAATAAGAACATTATTAAATTTGATACCCTATTGATATTCATCTGAAAGCAAATAGTCTAATTTTGCAACGTATGATTTAAAAAGCCTTTCAATTAGTACAACGATTATTTGACATTTTAATAGAAATTCATTAACCATTGCAATGTTTTTCTAAGCACAAATTTAAAGTGACCATGATAGTCTGCAATAAAAAAATATTCTTAATTGATTCATCCGGGGAAAATACGTAGAATTGTTTTACTTTAAATAAAGGATAGTTTTGTTGTTCAACTTTTAAAAAGGATATTTTGGATTAACAATTAAAGCTCATTGAGGAATGGAAAATGGTAAATTGTAACATCTAATCATGTATCAAGTGTAGTTTAATCATAATTATTGCTTTAATTTTAAAAGTTGGTAGAAGGCAGTTTTGAATTAAAGATAATTTTAAAAGTTGGTAAAAGGCATTTTTGAATTAAAAATAATTTTATAAGTTGGTAAAAGGCATTTTTGAATTAATAATATTAATAAAGGGCATTTTCGTAATTCAAATTTGAACATAAAACATTCCTACTTTTAATATAAAATATAAAAAAAAATTAATATAATATGATTTTGTTTTAATTCCAAAATATAATACATTTAACCAAATTCAAATATAATTGTTTTTGCATGATCTCTAAAAAGAACCATAGGTGAAGATTTCCTATATTCACGACTTTATCTAAGCAAGAACTAATGCTTACATCATTTTTATCAATTATATATATAAGTGTGCCCATGACAAAACCTGATATTTAGTTGATTTTTTTTTTAACCTCCTCATATTTTATTTTTGGTAAATTTTGTGTTAACTATCCGTTTGATACTTAAATTTATCTGGTGATCATCTGGAGTTCTGGACACCTTAACTTAATTACAATGTGCCTCTTAAGCACAAGTATCTGATGTAACAAATTATGTATCTCAAAGTCATTTTTGAGTGCATGAAATCTTATTTTTATCCGTATTTTTTCATTTTTTTTATTTAGATAAAACTTTGATTTCACTAATAGTTGAACACCTTAACTTTTACTTGTGACCATCTAAACATCTTATCGTGATTTAAGTTGGTTTCATAAACAAACTCATTCAAGAGGTCTAATACGTAAATTGCAATTGTCAATGATAAGGCAAAGTAACAAATAACAAATAACAAAATTATTTGTTATGAATGCAAATTGTCATATGAATACTTTTTTAATAAAGGAGTATTCAAGTTCATTATCACATGAACATCGATTTTTTCAATTAAGTCGGGCCTGAAGAGATAAAAAAAAAAGTGGATAAGGTAATTTTTTAAAGGTTACATGATATTATTTATTTTTGGTCGAAAAGTAATATTTTCATTCAATCAAGTGTGTAATTACAAAACTGCTACTTCTTTAAACTCCAGAACTAGTCCTCAAGGTTTACCTTTTTTTGTATAGGCTAGATTAGAAAATTATCTAGGTAAGATAACTACTCAAATGTCTTAATATGCTCTTCCATTTTGCTTGATGGTTCCCTCTGATGTGTAATTGAATAACAATCTCTTTTATTATGTTTTTATAGCTTTCTGGATATTTTAAAATTTTTTCTTGTTACGCTTCACCTAGATATGGTATATTGAGGTTGTGAATAAAAACTTTTAAGATATCAACCTTTGCTCCTTGCTTTTCGTCAATTTTATTGTCCATGTCCCTTCTTGCTCTCGACTTTTTATCTGTCTAGGTTTCTCTATCCAGTTTCAATCAAGAGTAATCATGCTTTATATTAATGACAATATAAATACGTCATTTTTTTTTTAATGTGAATACATCACATCTAGAGTTCTAAATGTATATTTATCATTTTCCTACATTGATTATATAATATTCATATTAAAACTTGACTAATTTGAAATAAGGAGCTCATAGGGCTTCTCACCATTTTCTTTTTCATGCTTTACTTTTTTTTTTCTAGAAACTTTTTCCACTGACTCTACTCTGTAAACCCTTCTACAGTAAAATGCATGATTCTTCCTCCTGCAATCGCCAAGTCCCGGCTCCGGCGATGTATCACGAGCACAGCTATCGTCTGTCAAATAACCGGCCATGTCGTCCGGGTTATTATTCTTCGAGTTACGAGCTTGATCGACCGCCAGGACATTCGCACAAGTCGCCGAATTTCGTAATCCAGCTTCGTTCCGGTAACCGGAGAATCAACCGGTACGCATTAGATGATCTAATTGAGAAATTACCGTTTGCCCCTCGAAGTTCGTTTGTTTTTAGCAAAGGGTTCCTTTCTGGGTCACTGATGTATGATCAATGGAGCGAAACGCTTGAAGTGATTGTGAAATTATGGAGAATGAGGCTTTCAGGCAGTCATTCGTTTACCCCATGGGTTAAACGAAACGTTGAGGTTCCATCTGATGAGGATGAATTAAAAGCTAGGGTAAAAATGGTATTTTTGGAGGAGTTGAAAGGGTTGTTAGTAGAGGGTGAATTGTTACAAAAGTGGGAGAAAAAATTGGAATTGTTGCGCGATGAAATTTGTGAATTGTCGAGATTACTGAAGAATAGGAATAATTTGAGGGTGTGTAATGAGTTTCTGAAGAAAAGGGAAGGTCTTGAGAAGGAGAGTGATTTGATACGGAAGAGGATACAGGAGTTTAAAAGAGGAATTGAATGTATTATTCAACAGTTGGAGGAGACGAGTTTAAAGGAGGAGGAGGGTGGTTCAAGGGTGTTTAAGATTGGGACAGTGTTTGATTGGAGTAAAATTCATTGTTTGATGATGAGGGAGTGTCGCAGGCTTGATGATGGCTTGCCAATTTTCGCTTTCCGGCAGCAGATACTGAGGCAAATACATTATCAACAGGTGCTCAATCTATTCATGTTTTTAATCTCATTAGAGTTTAGACAATCAGGTCACTTGTTGGTGATTACATGTAAATCTCCGTATAAGCATTAGTTGGCAACCAAGTAAAAAATGATAACTAACTTGCAGTTTAATCATTGATGGTGTAAAAAAAAATCTTTACATTGTTGGTGTACGTAGATCCATTATTACCCTGTTGAATATGTATAAAACTTAAAAATCTTGTTGTTATCACTGTGTTGAATAGTAGGAGCAGGAATACTTACTTGCACCGTAGTTCATTAGCCAAAGTAATAAGTGCATGATATGTGTTTTGTGGATAAGTTTTATCAGTTAACCATGGTTGGTTTATCAGCGTTCTTACCTCACTTTTATCCTTAAACTGTTCCATTAACTATGGTAAATTAGCATAGAGCCTGTTTGGATTGGCTTATTTTAGGTGCTTTTAA